TCATAAAAGTAAAAAAGGGGAAGAGTCAGGGGAAGAGTGTCCGGTCAGAGACTTCTGATAACTCAGTCCATTTCTGGATCAACAAATTGTGTACTCTGGGCAAATAATTCATGGTAGCGTCCATTTCACCTGACTTTGAAAGACCAAATGTTAGCTGATCGAAACAAGCCATCCATGTTCCCACTATAATGGATAGAGGAAGAGTGGTACCTGCAAGGAGTAATTCATTAGATACCTTTTGAAGAGAGGATGAACGGTCTCATAGATGTTTCTTTCCTTGTTGAACATCAAGAGAGGCTAAGTGTCTAGTTTTGATGAACATCTGACCTTTTGATAGCTAGCACTGGGAGATAAGAATTCTCGCTTTAGAGGTAGGTCTGCAGAGGGGTGTAAGCACTGCAATGCTGAGTATGTAAGAGTTAGGCAGCTATGTCCAGGAGCAGAATTCCCACATCCAGTTCCAGCTCCCGTATTCCTTCTGCTGAGATGAGGAGAGCTGGACACAGCAGCCCTCGTACTGGCTAGAAGTTTTCTATGGCAGATGAGGGGAAAAAATGGGGAGAGTCTCCCTCTGAGAATTAGTTCTTGGCGCCCTAGGTCAGCGCAGCCCTGAGCTGGGTCTCACAGCTTGGCAGTCCTCACTATATTTCAACACTCGAATCTGCTCTTGGATCTGGCCCTTAGTTCCTCTTTTCTAAATTAGGTATAATGCTATTTTTTCCTGTAAAAGGATGTTGTGAGAAGAACTACAACAAAGACTGTGAAGCAACTCTGTGATGTAAGAGGACCATATGAGTACCTAACACAGAGTGTGTTTCACATATGCTTATTTGAATTCCTGACCTGAAGCTTAGACCTAGAAGTGAAAAACTACTACAAACAGAGTTTATTCTGATAGCTTGCTCTGTTCGGCTGTTCTGTACTGTAAGTGGCTTGCTACACAACGTTAGCATGTCTTTCTTGTGTTGTAAGCAATGTCCTAACCCCTTGAGTATGATGCTGCTTTCTGCTCACACGTCTCCAAACACACCCAACACCAGTGGCTGTAGAGTGTTGCATTGAGATAATCAAGGTACTTTGTGAATAGGGAATTAAGATATTCAGTATTTAACAAATGGGATAAATGAGTCAATA